ACTTCGTTTACTTTACGTTTACGTTTACGTTACGTTTCGTTACTTACGTTACGTTTACTTTCGTTCTTTCTTCTTCTTCTTCTTCTTCTCTTCTTCTCTCTCTCTCTCTCTCTCTCTCTCTCTCTCTCTCTCTCTCTCTCTCTCTCTCTCTCTCTCTCTCTCTCTCTCTCTCTCTCTCACTCTGTGATTATGGAGTTTTGTGCTTTATTGTGGAGCCCTATACATTCTACCTTTCAATGTAGATTGAACTATGTTTCCTGGAAGCATTCGGACCCTGGCAGAAGTCTGACAATAATTGTCTGAAAAGATTTTATTGGGTCCCTTGCGTGCTTAATAGTCTCGATCATATTTATGTTTAGATTTGTAAGGATAGGAATTTTTGTTATGGATTGGTGGTATCCCTGTTCTTCTTTCTCTAGTATTTGAGTAATATTGCTTGAGTTTTTTTCTTCTCAAGAAGTTCTAAGATCTCTCTCTCATTCATTTTTCTCAATCTATCTCTATTCGTTTCTCTTACCATCGTCTCTCTGTTAGCTCAGCGTAAGTTCTCATTATTGAGAGCGTTTTGGCATGGATATATTCATTTTTTTCTGATGAATTCGTTTACTTATGTATTTAGGACCGATTGGGGATAGTTGCCAAGCTTTCAGATTGCATTGCTTCTCGAGGGGGTAATATACAATGCATTGATGTATTTGTCCCCGCGAAAAAGAATGTCTTCTACTCTCGAAGGTTGGACTCTCACTTTCTCTCTCTCTTTATATATCCCTCTTTCCTGGTATTTTACTCCTGGAGTTTTAGTTTGAACTTTGATTAGTTCGATTCTCATATCTCTTGTTTTGCTCCTTGCCTTGTTGTAATGGATCATGTTTATGTGGGAGACAGATTAAGGGGAGGTCCCCAATATGTTTAACTGAATTAGATTAACAAGGAAGAACTCAATCAGAAATTTGTGATTGCAGCAATGTGTATGTGTTAAGCTTGGTTTGACCATAAAGCAACTAGATTAGTGGTCCAATATGGCAGAGTACCCCAGTCAGGCTTGATGGATAGGAAGTGCTTTATTGGTCTGTAAAGCAACCAGGTCTAACGAGAATATAGTGAAGGACTTTGAAGGTTCACTTCAAGCATTTGTATTGTAGTTTGTGCGTAAATTATATGAGAGTGAGGGAATTCCCCTCCTTTCGTGACTTTAAAGTTTGGCTTTCAAATATAAAGTGTTGACTTTGATGGTCGCTTTACTAATTAAAAATAATAATAATAAGAGTGAGGGAATTCCCCTCCTTTCGTGACTTTAAAGTTTGGCTTTCAAATATAAAGATTAAACTTTGATGGTCGCTTTACTAATTAAAAATAATAATAATAATAATAATAATAATAATAACAATAATAACAATAATAACAATAATAATAATAATAATAATAATAATAATAATAATAATAATAATAATAATAATAATTACAACAACAACAATAACAACAACTTTGATGGTCGCCTTCACAGGTACATGCCCTTTTGATAGGATTTATCATTGATATTCGAAGTTTCAATAAGCCCTTATTTGGAATCCTAACTTCATGCGATTGGATTGACCAAACCTGGTTACAGGCAAATCGAGGTCATTAACTTTTGTAATGGTTTCTTTTGGGAGATCCACCTTCTCATGAAGTTTATATAAGAAGGCTTCTCTTGTAACATTATCGGCGGGCTTCTCTTGTAACATTCTCTTGCAGATAAAGAAACCAGTTTGATTCTTCACAAAAAAAAAAGAAAACAGATTGGACGTAGAGTGAGAAGGGTTAAGTTTGGATGATTTTGTGCCCGTTCTCTGTTATTTATTACTCTATAGCTGATGAGGTTTAAGTTATTGATGTTACTTCTAAAAACGAAAAAAATGAAATCATTATGTTTTTCAAAAAAGAAAAAGAAAAGTATTTCTATGATGGATGTTCTAGTTCTTAAAATAATTGCAAATATGTAATCTGAAGGAGAAATATTATTGATGATGCTTGATGAATTGAAGAATGACCAGGCTCCTTAACTACTAGGCTCCTTAACTACTAGAATTTAGAAGTATAGGAAGACAGACATGACCTCTATATGTCCAAATTTATTATAGTTTTTTAGTTGATACCATCTTTGAGGCTCGTTCACTTATAATTAATGAAATATCAAGGGAAGGAAACATAATTTCGAAAATTGGGTCACTAATAGTCTCTCCACTGGATAATTTGAGACTTTTATACAAAGGGAAGGTATAGTCATATGCCGTAATCTAGTGACAGGAGAATACTCAGTCCATATCATTACAGTCCAATGAAAATGATGGACAGTGCTGCTGAAAGAGTGTGCCCCAATATTGGGCCCATATATTGTTCTGGTGGCTCCAACTCTTACTCAATCATTTAATTTGACAGTTTACTTTTCAATGTACAAATATTCTTCGGTAATGCTTTCTCATGATATTATTGATCATTGAATCTTATTTGTGTTTCCCCCATGAAGACCAATCCGTTAACTAATTTTCTCTATCACCTTATATGGTGGTAGTTTGTACTTTCTAATAACTTTTGGCGATTTGTCTGCTTTTCAGGTTACATTTTTCCTATTACCATTCACTGTGATTTGAAACTAAGAAATAATACTCCTACGGATTGGCAGTGAGTTTGTCTTTGATCCTGCAAGATGGCCACGAGCTTTAATGGATGATGACTTCCGGGGCTTATCCGAAATGTTCAATGCAGAAAAATCCATTGTGCGAGTCCCTGATCAAGACCCAAAATTTAAGATTGCAGTTCTTGCTTCAAAACAGGTATGCTTAGTGGATTCCTCTCTGCATCTTTGGACAAGACCCAAATATGTCTCTCTTGCTACATTACTAAGTGATCTATCACATAATTACCAGGATCACCTACTTTGGTAGGCGATCCCTTCTAGGATCCCGACTTTGTCGCTCCTGGAACGGATCTATCAGGGACCTCAATTTTTAAATTTTGGGATTTCGACCCCCCGCTGATAGGGATCTGATTCCTACGGTTAGGGATCTCAAACTTAAAGACCAAGACAACAACCAAACTGATAATTTTCTTTTTTATAGTCAGTTAGTAGCACAACTATACTTTAGTATAGTTGCATTGCTTACGTACTATAAATAATGAGATCCCTAATTTAAAGAAAATACATAATCCCAGATGATCATACACTTTAAGATTGGTAGGAAGATCCCCAAAAAGTTGGGACCAAGATCATCAAAAGGTTCGAATCTCTATCCCTAACATTTGGGAATCTCGATCCCTAACATGCGCATTGTACGGACAGCATTCTCAACTATAGGGATCTTCTAGCATTTCACTCTCCCTCACTCCTAATCCCGATCCCACTACCGTTCCCGCTCGCAATCTCAACAACTATGATCTATCATAAAGGAAGTTGACTGAGACTTAGTCTAAGGTTAAGCTTACCAAATGCAGGGGATACCCTTATTATTTACAAAGGCTGGTGCAGAATAACTTTAAGGGGCCTTATGTCCATTATCGGGAACTACAGTAAGTACAGTTAACTTTCCACCATCTGTTGTTGAGAATTGGGAGTGGATACCCTGATTGTGTACCAGACTCCATACACACCTGTGTGTGGTATACTTCCCATAATAACAAAATGGTTCCTAGGCTTGTTAGAGAAGAACGAATTTCGTTCTTGTAGCATAGCTTACAAACTAGACATGTTATGTCTGTGCTGGCATCTGAAGTTCATCTCTTACTAATTTTCTTGTGATTTGATAAAAATTAAGCGGCTTAATGGATTGCATGATATTTCTTCTACAATTTTTGTCATGCAGGACCATTGTTTGGCTGAAGTGTTACATGGATGGCAAGATGGAAAACTTCCAGTGGATGTTAATTGTGTGATAAGGTGAGCCATGGATTAAACTTTGAGCAATTTGTGGCCATAAATTTTTTATAATTAAATTTTGAAGATGTCTGCAACTAAACTTTAGCCATAACTTTGTTATTAAATATTAATTCTTTGTCAGAATTCACTCGTGGACCCTGGCCTCGACCTATAGAACCCAAGAGCCTTTTCCTTTTTTGGCTGTGAGATCTTGAACCTTGGCTGAAATTGGCTATATAGTTTTTTAATTGACATTGTTTTATTCTAAATTTTTAGAAGAAATGCAGCTGAAATTTGGTGGGAAATATGTAATTTCTGACTTTTTGTGGAATCTCGCCTGCTTGCCCGTCAAACCCAAAAGAAAACTTAAAGTTTTCAGTATTCAATTGTAAAACTTAAAGTTTTCAGTTTTTATTCTATTGTAGACCCAGATGAGTCTTGGCCAAATTTCAACTCAACAAGTAGAAATTTGAGTTTGTATTTTGGCTCAAAACATTTCCAAAAATCTATCTTTTCGCAGCCTTGTTAGGTGAACTTTCATATGAACAATTCATGATGCTTGAAAATTATGCTTGATTATAGCTTGTAGGTGCTGAACTTATGTTTCTGCAGCAACCATGAGAGAACGCCAAACACCCATGTTATACGATTCCTGGAAAGGAACAGCATCCCTTATTATTGTCTACCTACAACTCCAGGAAACAAAAGGGAAGATGAGATATTGGAGTTAGTTGCAGGTTCCGACTTCCTAGTGCTGGCTAGATACATGCAGGTACTCAATACTCTCTCTCTCTCTCTCTCTCTCTCTCTCTTCTCTCTCTCTCCCCCCTTCCCCTTGCCCCCAAACAAAAAAAAAATCCAATGGTTGCCTTTGCTTAGCCTTAACCTTCGGATTGCAACTGGACTTTGTTAGTTTCTTTCTCTTCCATGATTCAAGAGAACAACAAAAGCCAGAAATGTAGCAGTTGATCAATGGATCAACTGTTCATATAATGTAGGCTAAAGTGTTGATTTTGATGAGTAAAGGAGGCTCTTGTCTTGGATACATTAATATGTCGCATTATCCCGTATTAGGAAAAGTGTCCCATAATCCAATGGTGCATGTTATACAGTACTCCAAAGGCGCATCCATTGTTTGCTTCTGATGATCAAGGGAGGATAATAATTGTCCTCTTGTGAATGTGTTGATGGGCCTCAGTGCAGTTAATCTCCTTCATCTATCATCAAAAGCTGATGGTTAATGCCCTTTGGAGAATGCGAACCAAGAACCATATACCATTCTCCAAAGGTCATTAACCACATGCGCTTTTGATTACGATCCATTCATGTTAAATGGTTGGTGATTCCTAGACTATGGAACATACCATTTGGATAGTTCTACTGTTAATTTTTCCGTTTAGGGGTTTGCCTACAAAAAATACTGATTATGACTGTCCAATTTCTTTGCAGATTTTTTCAGGAAGGTTCCTTGAATGCTATGGTAAGGATATCATCAATATACATCATGGTCTTCTCCCTTCATTTAAGGGTGGGAATCCATCCAAACAGGTTCGTTAATCCTGGTTTTCCATTTGGATTGGGATGAGAACTATCATGTTGACACAATTTTGTTGCTGTGAAGGTACACTATAATGTGGTAGATTGTGATTATATCAGAATCCATTGGGGTCATCACTTTCCAATCAAACGATGGATGGTAATGGAAATAGTGCTAGTGGACCCACCAGAACAGGGGCATGATCCCTTGTGGGTCCCACTCTATTTCCATAAATTTCCATTTCATTAGATGCTAATGCCCCAATGGTCTATGGCCATCCTAACTATGTTAGATTTGAATGTTTCCTTGATCACCATATAAAGAAGGAAAAAATTAATTAAATAACAAGAATATGTGTATAAATTTATTTGTTGTGTTGATTTGAAAATTTTGGTTTCCCAGGCCTTTGATGCTGGTGTCAAACTGATTGGTGCAACCAGCCATTTTGTAACAGAAGAGCTTGATGCAGGTCCCATCATTGAACAAATGGTAATCACCTCTTAGGATCTTACCCATTTTCTTTGCTAGGTTTAGAAAACTAGATCAGATTTGATTGTGTAGAACCGGGCTAAGGTCCTTTAGGTACATATAATAACTGGACAAGAGCTTGACATGGGTCCAAACCATGAACCAGCTAGTTCAGGCCGATAGATGGACGGATTTTTTTTCATTATATTGTACGCAATAAAAATTCAAAATGTGTAAGGAATTGAACCGGCTGGTCCAACCAGGAAAAGGAAAGAGAGAAGAAATTTATGAAAGTAATGCAAAAGCTTTTTTGGAATCCAAGTCATTTAAGGGTCCAACTTTACATCCTCCTCAGTCATATTACATGCAAATTCATCTAAATTCATGTTGTCCTGCTACTCCTTTTACTGAGGTTGTTGATCTGTTAACATTTGTTTTAATGCTTTATATTCCACATGATGCTTTATTTTATGTTTTTTAGTAACTTATTTTATAAATATAACAGTAATTTTTATGAATTCTTACATGTCCAATTTTTTTGACGGCCATGCCTGACTCATCTTATTCTTGATCGAGACAAACAGTGTCACTTGTGACCATGTCCATAGAATGCTGTTATAAATGTTCTTCAATCTCATGAAGGAAAGCACAAAATATCAAAATACTAGGAGGAAAAGTAAATTCCAATGCCTGCCCTAAAAAATTGGATTTGGAGGTCCTAAAATGGTGCATATATGATTGATATCCATTGAGATGCACAGTCCATATCAAATATTTAGATAGGACTCTGGATGGAGCCTTTTTATGGCTCCAATTACAATTTCTTTGTAGATCTTGCTATTGGAGGTCAAGAAGATGGATTTGCGACTTGTTTCGATGCTTTCATCTTTTTGATGCATTTTGAAGGGGTGCATGGGGTAATCATGCAGGCAGAGCATGCATAAACGGAACCCATCTTAGAATCACCTTGAAAATGCAAATAGAGAAGAAAAAAACGAAGATAATAAAGGATCAAAGTACCCCTAGATACTCCATAAAGGACTGGGGTTGCCATGAAAATTTTTGGCTTCTTGCCACCTTTCTTCCTTTGGCTGAAGAAAGTATGGTTGAGAGCATTAACTAGGGATTTACAAGAGGGGCTTGTATTTATTCTTTTTCTTGTCGTTAAAAAAAATTTGTTGTGTGTTTGATATTTTAGGTGGAGCGTGTTTCACATCGGGATACTTTGCAGAGCTTTGTGCAGAAATCAGAGAACTTGGAGAAGCAGTGCCTTATGAAGGCAATAAGATCATATTGCGAGCTTCGCGTGCTATGCTACGAAGGCGCAAAGACCGTTGTATTTTGATTTATTTGTTTTCTCTTCATCTGTTTACTATTTTTCATTTATTTAATGAAAAAGAGGCTGTACATGTATTTCGATTTATTTGTTTTCTCTTCATCAGTTTGTGATGTTTCTTTTTGTATAATGAAAAAGAGACTGCAATATGAACATGAAAGCTTCTTTTCTATTCATTGCTGATCTTTTTCGAGTTATTGCTATTGTGCTTTGTGTTTCAGTTTCTGATGCCCTCCTGGCAAAGGGTGGGAATGATATTTGTTGCATGAGAGAGAGAGGGAGAACTCAATTGCAACCCATTCATCTTAAGGGCATCCCTTTAAGGCTTTTTGTTTACATGAACCACAAGAAAGACTTGATAACAAAGACAACAAAGATTTACAGGAGAATTGCAACCCATTCTCTCTCTCGTACTCTCTCTCTCTCTGAGACTGACACAGGAGACTTAACAGAACGGTAATCTCTCTCATTATTTTTCATCACAAAGGCACCAGGTCTTCACTCGAGGCTTCTCTCTTTCTTATCTAAGGATAATTCTCCGAGGCTGGAAGTGGCTCATAGGAGCCAATGAACACATCGCCATACACCAATCCGGCGATTGCGCCACCAATAAGTGGACCCACCCAGTAGACCCAGTGATCAGTGAAGTCTCCGCTGACAACTGCAGGGCCAAAGGAACGTGCTGGGTTCATTGAGCCTCCGCTGAAGGGGCCGGCGGCAAGAATGTTGGCACCGACGATGAAGCCAATGGCGATGGGGGCAATCGTGCCGAGAGATCCCTTCTTGGGATCAACAGCGGTGGCATAGACAGTATATACAAGAGCGAATGTTATGACGATCTCCATTACCACGCTGTTATGACGATCTCCATTACCACGCCCTCAATGGTGCTCATGCTCGAGGCAACAGTGTGGGTTGGGATGGACTGAAAGATTCAATGACAGTGTTAAGAGATATGGGTTGGGATGGACTGAAAGATTCAATGAGAGTATTAGAGAGAGCTTTGAGCTTATTAGTTTGAAGAGTTTGGTAGGCAAGGTCACTGAATTGGTGAGGTTTTAGAATCAATAGAAACTAACCCATTTGTAGCTCCAACCGATTGAGCTAGATTTTTAGAGAATAAAAAAGAAATAACAGTTTAAAAAGTGAAACACTTAAAAAATAAGGGAAAGGTTTCTCTACTTTCCTACAACATAGAAGATATACAATTCCCTCATCCAGCCATCCAGTTTAAATTAAGTGGAACGCCTCAAAGTATTTGTCTGAATATAAAATTTGTTACGTGTTATCTTCTTAATGAGTGCATTTAAAGATAAATATTATTTTTTTTAAAAAAAATATAGTGATTAAAATATCTCTTAAAACTTTTAAAGGTATTTCGGTCATTTTTATTGAGAATATTTTTTTTTATTATTATTATTGCGAGTTTAAGAGAGGAGTGGATGTCCAAAATTTGGTGGCAAAATACTTTTTAGAAAGAAAACAAAAAATAAAATAGGGTAGGGACATGACATTGTGACAGGGGCAATCTTAGCCATCTATTCAAAATGGACAGTTGGAATGTAGTAAGAAAAGTATAGAAAGCTTGTCCAAAAATAATGTTCCGTAATTTTGTTTCTCTAGACTGAATCGGTCAAAAGTAACCCGCTCGACTGGCTAAAGCTGATCGAAACATTGATTTTGATACCGATTCAACAGAATTCGGTTTTTGCTTTGAACCAAACCAACCAAAGGATTGGCCATCTATCCCTTCTTGATGAATAGAGACATAGGGTCTACTAAGCCTCTATACACAATTATTACTTACCAAGCCATTGGTGACAAACTTCAACAAGAGGCAGGCCACAGTTGATCCCAAGAGCTGGAAGATCCAATACATTATCCCTGTGAATATGGTGATGTTTCCGCCAACGGCCAACCCGAGGGTGACAGCTGGATTCACATGTCCACCAGATATGTTTGCAGCCATGGACACAGCCACGAACAGAGCCAAGCCATGGGCCACCGCAATTGCCACCAAGCCAGCCGGGTCGAGAGAGGCATCCGATGTGAGCTTACCTGCGTGCGCCAAAAAAAAAAAAGTTGGCTCGGATTAAGATGTGGTCAAGAGAAGTGAAGCTAGTGACAGTCATCTCATATCCCGTATAAATGTTATATGACACTCGTGTCTGACACTTCCGTAATTTTGTTTTTAGCAGTATTTTTTTCTCAAGTATTTCTTTCTCAAATCTCACTACAATGTTAATTTAATTTGATATGTTAATGGTGGGAATGGAGAGTATGATGTTATGTGGTTTTTAGGATATTTCAATGGTGCAAATGGAGGGTGGGATGTTTTGTTGATGCATTCACCCCTTGAACCACCAATTCCCGATCACCCCATTCCCACGACAAGACCTTATATTGAGGTATTCGCCTTCCTAACTACTTATGCCTCATCCCCATTCCCGTTATTAATGTCATTTCAAATACTTATTCTCACATGTTTAAACAATATAAACATCACATGTAAAATCAGTATAACATTGTTATTTTTAACACTCGAATTCATGTCAGATGCTTAATATATATACCCATATCCATATAACATAATATGCATCACAAGATAATCAAAGTGGAGAGAATATGAAATGGAGAGAGAGAGATTTCCTATATGAAATGGCCGGAGAGAGAGATATATACTTTATGAAATGAGCAGAGAGAGAAAGAGACTTACTATATGAAATGGGTGAGAAATAGGGACTCATGGTATGAAATGAGAGAGGGAGGGGGGGGGGGGGGGAGAGAGAGAGAGAGAGAGAGCTACTATATAGAA